TTTCGAGTCCTCGCCCGGCGCCCCTTTGCACAAAAAGAATCGTCTGGCCACGGAGTCGTCCACATCATCATCATCATCATCATCATCAGCAGCAGCATCATCATCATCATGCTCCTCCTCCGTCTGCTCCTCCGCCTCCTCCTCCTCTTCCTCCCTCCTCCTCCTCGTCCTCCTCCTCCTCCTCCTCCTCGTCCTCCTCCTCCCCCCCCTCCTCCCCCTCGCCTTCCCCACCCTCCTCCTTCTCCTCCTCCTCCTCCTCCTCCTCTCCTCCCCTCCTCCTCCGCCCCCTCGCGCCCGCAGGAGCGGATGCTCCTGACCGCCCCCGTGCCCGCGCTTGGTGGCGCCGCGGGCACATCTCGCTGGCAGCGTCTCCCGCCCGCGGGCGCGCCTGTGGTGGCGCCGCCAGCCTGGAGATCCAGGGCAGCAGCAGGAGCGCTCCATCGGACGGCGTCGATCCGCTCGGGTCTAGGATCGAGGATTCTGAGATCGGCGGCGAGCCTCGGGAGGATGTGGGAAGGAGGAGGCCTGCTCAGAAGGCAGCGGGGCTTCTCAGAAGCCCTCCAGCCTTCTGAGGAGCTCCTGGCGTCTTTGGGGGAGGCGCTGGAGCTTCTCAGGAAGCCAGGCTGGAGGGCGCGTAGTGGGGGGGCGCGGCGCATGGAAGGGCAGCGAGGGCTGCCGAACAGGGGCCCTGTAGTGCCCCTTGAGGGGCCCTCTCGGGCCCAGAAGGGGGCCCGTGGGGCCCGCAAAGGGCACCTGTCTCCCCCCCCCCCAGCCGTCGCCCCCCCATCCGCCCAGTCGAGGATCGAGGGCTCCGAGAGTGGTTTTCGCATCTTCTGGGGGGGGGGTTCCCCGGGTGCGTTTTCGCCGCCGCGGCCGCACAGGGTCCGGCTTGAATAGGGAACAGTTGCTTTCCAAAAGGGGCTCGGTCGTTCCTTTGGTGTGCATGCGTTCCGCTACCTTTTTGGCGACAAGCCCCCTCTGGTGCTCCTTCAGACTTTGGGCGCGCGGGTCCGTTCCTTCGGACTTCGTAGACTTACTTGGAAAAAAGAGGGCTTTGTTTCGGGACGACCGACATGGGTACGGAAAAAATGGGTATAATGCCCAACAGCAGTTCCTGTTCATTTTGAACAGGACTCGCTGTCCACGCCGCCGCGGCCTTTTTCCATTTGAGACAGAAGGCCGCCTGCCCAACAGCGGCCGCTGTAGGGTTGGGACAACATTTGTGGTTGGACATTTCACCCGTTCTTTCCGTACCATTTCGGGCGTCCAAATGGTTCCTGATGTATCGTTCTTTAGGTCAGGCGGAATCCTGTACTCGCGTGGAGGCTCTGGCCGGAAGGCGCTGCTGCTCGGGCCCCCGCTGCGAATCCCCTTTGCGGGTGGTGCAGCAGGAGCGCCGTCTGCTGGCGTCGAGCCGCTCGACTCGAGGATCGAGGGCCCTGGGCGTTTGCTGTTGTTGTTGTTGTTGATGGTATTGTTGTTATTGGTGTTGTCGTTGTCGTTGTTGTTGTTGTTGTTGTTGTTGTTGTTGTTGTTGTTGTTGTTGTTGTTGTTGTCGGTGGTGGTGGGGTTGTTGGTGCTGTCGTTGTTGCTTTTGTTGGTGTTGTTGCTGGTGTTGTTGTGATTGTCGATGTTGTGATTATCGATGTTGTTGTTGGTGGTGGTGGTGGTGTTGCTGGTTGTGTCATTGTTGTTGTTGCTGGTGTTGTTGTCGTTGTCGTTGTAGCTGTTGGTAATGATGGTGTTGTCGGTGTTGGTGGTATTGGTGTTGTCGTTGTCGTTGTCGTTGTTGTTGTTGCTGGTGTTGTCGACGTTGTGTGGTTGTTGTTGTTGTTTGTGCTGTGGTGGTCGATGCCGTTGTTGTGGTGTGGGTGCTGCTGTTGTTGGGGTTGTTGGTGCTGTCGTTGTTGCTGTTATTGGTGTTGTTGTTGTGGATGCTGCTGCTGATTTTGCTGCTGCTGCTTGCTCGTCGTGGCATCCGCTGGCCCAGACCTCCGACGAGATGTTTCTTGTTCCACTCCCGGAGTGTTGCCTCGAGTTCGACCCTCGGGGTCCGTGGTCGGGCCCCGGGGCCATCCGTCGCGAAGATCTGGGACAAGATCACCCCCATGGGAAAGGGTCGGGACCTCTAACGCAGCGCCGCGCACAGAAAGACAAGGGCTCCCTCGAGGGCGCGAAGTTATTCGCGCTTCGCGCTTCGCGGTCCTCGTTCCTTCTCCCCCTCCTCCTCGTCCTCCTATTCTCCCTTTGGGAGGGCGGCGCGAGAGCGCGAAGTTATTCGCGCTTCGCGCTTCGCGCAGCGCGAAGCGCGAAGTTGGGAGCCCTAGGAAAGAACACGTCGTCGGATGTCTGGGAGCAGCGTTCCGCAAGGGGTCTCGGATGGCGTTGGAAAAGGACCGCAGCAGGGTCCCGCAGGGGGGGGGGCTGGGAGCCCGAGGACGCCCGGTGGCGGCAGCCGTTTCGCTCGAGACTCCCTCTTCACAACTGATCCGCGAAGCGTGTTCTCGCCCCAATGCCGGCTACATTTTCGTTCCGGACCGCCACGACCCTTTGTAAAAAGGCGCTATGGTGTACAGGGCCGTGCTCTTACCCTTGTCCTGGCTTCATCTTTGCTGCTATCTGGGTGCTTCGCTGGGGTGATGTGTTGGGGCCTCATGGGTGCTTTTGTGCCGCCGCGGCTGGGTTCCTGTCGAGGTTCTGGCCAGAAGGCGGTCGTACTCGCACTCAAGATGCGACGCCCTTCTGTGGGTGGCACAGAGTTGCGCAGCAACCGTCACCACGTTCGTGTGCTCCCCGGGGCCCAGCGGGGTGCGGTCGCATCGCATCTTGACTTTTTTGTTCGCCTCCCTTGGTGCTGCCAAACGCGCAACTGCCGTCGCTGTCGTGAGCTCCTGGGAGGCCCAGCGGGGTGCCCGCCCTCTCTCTCATCTTTCACCTCCTCCCTCCTCCATCCGCCTTCCTCCCTCCTCCCCTTCCCTGCTTCCTCCTCCTCCTCCTCCTCCTCTGCCCCCTCCCCGCTTCCTCGTCCTCCTCCTCCTCGATCCATAGGTCTTGCCACGCTGGGGCTCTGCATCCTCTCCATGCTCGGTCGGGAGTGGGAGGGACGGCATATTTTCTTATTGTTTCCCCGTGCCTGACCCCTCCCTTTCTGTCTCGTTCTCCGTCCTCCTCTGTCATCAGTCCTCCCTCCTCCCTTCCCTGGGAGCTGCCAGCTGCGCAATTGCCGACGTTCGTAAGCTCCTGGGAGATCCAGCGGAGTGCGGTCACACGCAGGTGTCCAACGAAGCCTGGTCATACACACATCCGCACAATATGTCCCTTCCCTTGGCGCTGCCAACTGCGCCACCGTGGGTACTTTTCGTTGGCTCCTCCCGGGAGTTCCACCAGGTCCATCGGAAAACCGGATTCGAGCCTCCGGCGCGGCGCGCCTGGCCTCCAGCATGCCGCAGACGTCCAGCCCGCTCGGCTTCCGCAGGCGCTAGGCCACCTGCGCGGACTTCCCCGTCCCCCGCGCTGGCGCCACTCTGGCCCTGCCAGGGCCGGACCACCTGCGACGTGGTCATCGTCCACACAGGCTTCCAGGGTCGCCGACGTCGTGGGCGGGCTGTGGCTGCATCTGTACGTCATGCTCTCCGAAGCCACGATCTTGGACAGCCTGCTGTTGATCCGGGGCCCGAGGACGGAGCTCTGCCCCCGCGGGCCGCCGGCGGACCCGGCGGCTCCTGCGGCCTTGGCCTTCCAGCGCCCGCGCGGAAACGAGCAGGACATCTGCCGAGGGCCAGCCACGCGCAGGGGGCGGTGCTTCTTAGAAGGCGCGGGCCCCGGCCACAGATGCAGGGCCGGCCCTTGCTAAGAAGCAGCCTCCTTCCGAGAAGCATCTCCCCCCCCTGACCCTTGTGCGCGCCGCCAGGAGGGGCTCGGCGCGCGAGCTCGGCCGCGCCGGGCCCCCCGCATGGCGAGCGATTGCCAGGAGGGAAAAAAACACAGACACTATTAATCGTCGATTCCCCAGAAAATATGGAAAATATGGGCAGTGGGGGGAAGACAGAAACCCAGAAAATATGGAGAACTATTGGGGATCTCTTTACTTGCGTGTATCTACTTGTGTGTCCCAGGGGCCCCTTCAGATTGGCCGATGTGGCCGCGGGAAGCTCGGCAGCTCCCCTGGGTGGGGCGGCGTCGTGCGGGGCTCGCGCCAGCGACGTGGTCATCCAGGAGCGCCCTCTGCGCGAACGATGTGGCAAGAGCCCGCTCCTGCGCACCGCATCGCGTTCCGCATTTTCTTCGTCTTTTGGTTCGTGGATCTGGCTATGTTTAGTTTACCTCTTCTTGCAGTGTGTTCATGATGTGTGTGTGTGTGTGTGCGCTTCCCTCTGGCTGTTTTTTTTTCAACTCTCATCATTATTCTGAATAATCGTTTTAAATATGATGTGCCTTATTGATTTCATTATCGTTCCTCTTCTGATTATTCTTCTCCCCGCTCAAACCGTCCCACCTTTATTTTTCCTCCTCTTTGCCACCTGCGTTCTCTCTCCCTTGGCCCCCCTCCTGCTCGTTGTCGATACCACTTTTCCGTGCCATGTTTTTGTCGTTCCTGCCTCTCGCTGTGCCCATGGCGCGTTCAGCGCAGTCGTTTCTTATGCAACTGCCGCGCAGGACAGCGTTCTTCTTCGCATCTTCGTTTTTTCGGATGGGCCCGTTGCTGTTGCCACTTGTTGCGGTTGGGTTGGGTGCGGCTTCGGGGCGTCTCTTGGGGCTCAAGGATCCCGGGCCGTCCGGCCATCGTTGCGCCCAGATTATGAGGACGCGAGGGGGACCAGGAGGAAGAAGGATATGTGCTTCGAGGGCGTCGGTATTTTTTATGTGATGTGCTTTGCTTGGGACTTTGGAGACATCTGGTGACCTTCGGACGCCTTTGGGGGGGAGGGAGGAGGAGGAGGGAGGGATGGGACTGGGGCCGGCTACCAGTTACGACCTCCCCAGGGCGTCCTCCGTGAGCTATGGAGACCGATAGTCCATTGTCGGTGGCATGGGTTCTCGTCAACTCATTCCTTGTCATCTCCATGCAGCTGGGTTTCGCGATGCTCGAGGTTGGGTCTGTGCGCGAAGTCCACCGCATGACAGTGTTGGCAAAGAACATACTCGACTCCTGCGTGTCCTGTTTGGCCTTCTCGACTTCCTGTGCGCTGCTCCAGCCAAGCATCATATACCGCGACGGGTACGCCCAGCAACACCTCATGGTTTTCCAGTGGGCGTTCTGCGCCACCTGCGTCACGATCTGCTCCGGTGCCATGGCCGAGCGGACGCACATGCTGGCGTACTTAACGTTCACAGCATTGATGGGCGGCGTGGTATATCCGATTCTTGCAGAGAGTGCTTGGGGAAATGGGCTCTTCCGGGACCAGTTCCACGACAGATTTCACGAGGGCTACTCGTACCACGACTTTGCTGGCAGCGGCGTGGTGCCCTTGGCACAGAGGGCAGAGGGATTACAGAGGGAGGGATCTAGTCAAGCTGATTTGGTCAGAGAGCGCGCTTGCTATGAATGTGGTGATTGTTGATGGTGAGATGGCCGCGATTGCCGAGGGCGCGCTATTCCGCAGAAGTGGAGATGCCGCTAGAGTGCCATAACCTTGAACACAACATTGAGCATAGCGTGTCCACCGGGCCAGTGGACACTCTGCACCAGTGCTGTGGCAGTTTATATACGTATGTTTATATGTATGCATGCATGCATGCATGTATGTATGTGTACTGTTATGTATGTCTGTATATACGTATATATATATACCTATGTATGCATGCATGTATGTATGTATGTACGTATATGTATGTATGTATGTATGTATGTATGTATGTCTGTATGCATGCATGCATGCATGTATGTATGTATGTATGTTTGTATGCGTGTGTATGTATACATGCATGCATGCATGTATGTATGGATGTATGTGTATATGCATGTATGAATGTATGCATTATGCTTGAGTGCATGTATATATGAGTGTGTTCATGTGTGCACGTAGTTATGTATGCATGTATGCATGCATGTGTGTATGTGTGTATGTATGTATGTATGTATGTATGTATGTATATATGTGTGTATGTATGTATGTATGTTTGTATGCATGCATGCATGCATGTATGCATGCATGTATGTATGTATGTATTCTGTATGTATGTATGTATGTGTGTATGCTTGTATGCATGCATGTATGTATGTATGTATGGATGGATGGATGTATGGATGGATGGATGGATTGATGGATGTATGGATGGATTGATGTATGTATGTATGTGTGCATGTATGGATGTTTGTACGCACGCATGCGTGCATGCATGCATGCACGCACGCATGCATGCATGCATGTATGTATGTATGCATGCATGCATGCATGCATGTATGTATGTATGCATATATGTATGAGTGTATGTATGTAGTTGTGTCTATAAACAGTGCTATACTGATGTGTATGTATATAAATGCCTATTTACTATCTATATTTCGACCCCCCTGGAATGTCGCAGTCCGCAACCATCCTGGAACACTGTTTCATACCCTCCCGGTTCGCTTCTCAGAGGCGGCCCCGAGAGGCCAAGAGGGCCCAAAGACGGGATAAGAGGGCTCCAGAAAGCGCCCACTAGGGTCGAAGTGGCCTCCAAGACAGCTCAATAGTGATCCAAGACGCCCAAGATGGCCCCAAGACGCCCCAAGAGGCGCCAAACAAGCCCCAAGAGCGCTCCAAGAAGACCCCCGAGAGGGCCCAAAGAGACACAGTAATTTCTCTTGTGTGCTTTCATTGTGTTTCGCGTTCTCGTGTTATAAGCTTCCGACGCTCCAAGATGGCCCCAGAGGCCCCCAAGACCGCCCCAAGACGGCCCAAGAGGCTCCCAAGAGGGCCCCAAGAAGGCCCCGAGACGGTCCAAGAGGGCCCCAAAAAGGCCCAAGAGGCGCCCAAGATCGCCCAAGATCGCCCCGCGATGGCCCCAAGAGGGGCCCACGAGGGGGAATACGAACCGACAATTCGAGCCTTCCGCTCCAAGAGGTCTCCTGGAGGCCCCAAGAGGCCCCCGAGGGAGCCCAAGAGGCCCCCTGGAGGCTCCACGAGGCCCCCAAGAGGTCCCAAAACAAGCCCCCAAACGGCCCCCGGGAGGCCGCCAACACTGCCTCCAAGAGGCCCCCGAGAGACCTCCCGCAATGTCCAAACGAACCTCCAAGAGGCCTCTAACCCACAAGCCAGGCACGGTGGCGGGATGGGCCGAAGGGCCACCGGACGGCCCCAGACGCCCAAGACGGACTCCAGACGGCCCAAGCGGCCCCCAAGATACCCAAGAGGCCATCAAGATGTCTCCCAAGAGAGCTCGGGGAGGCAAACGAGCGCTAATTGTCCATGATTGCGTCCTTCAACACAAATGCGCTACTTTTGCAGAGGCGCGTGACCAGTGTTGGCGTTTCCGCATGTTCCGTTTCCCGACGCCGCAGGACGCCACAAAACAAGGGCTCCCTCGAGGGCGCGAAGTTATTCGCGCTTCGCGCTTCGCGGTCCTCGTTCCTTCTCCCCCTCCTCCTCGTCCTCCTATTCTCCCTTTGGGAGGGCGGCGCGAGAGCGCGAAGTTATTCGCGCTTCGCGCAGCGCGAAGCGCGAAGTTGGGAGCCCTTGCAAAAGGCCCCGAGGATCGCCTCAGGACGGCTCCAGAGGCTCCAGGAGCGCCCCAGGACGGCTCCCCAAAACCGCCGAAGGAGACGTCCAAGACCGCCCGAGTGGGCCCCCGGCCGTGGCCCAGGATCGGGAACGGGAGCCGAGAACCCGAGATCTTCGCCCAAAGGAGACCCCCTAGGAGGCCTCAGCCTCAAGAGGTCCCCCTCCTCCTCCTCCTCCTCCTCCTCCTCCTCCTCCTCCTCCTCCTCCTCCTCCTCCTCCTCCTCCTCCTCCTCCTCCTCCTCCTCAAGAAGCCCAGCAGATGCCCACGAGAGCCCCAAGAGAGGACCCGACGCCGATGGGCATTTGGCAACAGGGGATTCCGAGATGTCCCTTTTGTGAAGTTCGCGCCTGGCCGCTTGGATGCGCTTGCAGCAAAAATGGAAGCACCATATTTCATCCTCCTCCTCCTCTTCCTCCTCCTCCTCTTGTTCCTCCTCCTCTGCGGCCTCCATTCCTGCTCCTTATAACTGGCTTCTCCCTGTCGCACCCCGAGGCCAGTTTTGAGGGCGGGCCGGGCGTTTCGCCAGGGACTTTCTCGCCATTCATAATCCGGAAACTTAATATGTGACAGCAGGTTCACGAATGGAGGCCGGGTGGTTTTCAACATGTGGCTCTCGCCGTAGCGCCGCGCACATCCTTTTTTAACATGCGCAAGAGCTTCAGGGATGAAGGCGGGTCGTTGTCAAAATGAGGCTCTCGCCGTAGCGCCGCGCACATTCGTTTTAACAATTCGCAAGGGTTTCACGGATGGGGAGCGGGTCGTTTTCAAATTGTGGTTCTCGATTTAGCGCAGCGCACATTCGCTTTAAACATGTGCAAGAGTTTCACGGATTGAGGGCGGTTTCTTTTCAAAAGGTCGTCTTCGCCTTAGCGCCGCACACAATCGTTTAAACATTTGCAAGAGTTCCACGGATTCCAATGATCAGCGTACTAGACATGGCGTTTCGGACGGATTCAGGGTTACGAAGGTGCAGCAGCTACGTTGATTCGCGGTGTTGAAGTCCCAGGAATGGCGCTCTGGCACGATTCAGAATCGTCAAGACGCAGCAGTCAGGTTGACCCGTGGCGTTGGAATCCCGAGAACAATGTATTGGCATGATTCAGGGTCCTCGAACGGTTGTCTTCCAACGAGGCAGTTCCCTTAGTGGAGATGAACATTCGTAGTGACATGTGAAGAGGGAGCTTGGAGGGAGGGTTTATTCAACCATCGTTGATGACTCTGAGATGTACACTTGTTTGCCTCCTCCTCCTCATCATGATTCTCCTCCTCCTCATCCTCCTGTTCTGCCATCTCCTCCTCCTCCTCCTCCTGTTCCTCCTTCTCCGCGGCCTCCTTCTCCTTTTCCTCCTCCTCCTCCTCCTCCTCCTCTACCTCCTCCTCCTCCTCATTCTCCTGTTCCTCCTCCTTCTCATCATAGTTCATCCTTTGCGCCCTCGAGGGCGAGAACTTATTCGCGCTTTGCGGTTCGGCTCCGACTCCTCCTCGGCTTCCTCTTCGTTCTTCGGGGCCGACGCGGGAGCGCGAAGTGGTTCGCGCCTCGCGCGGCACGAAGCGCAGGCGCCTTTTGGGGTTGAACACGCAGCCCGAGGGGGGGCCCACGTCGCACCGACGTGCCCACATAATCGGAAGAGAGGCTGACTGCATACGGAGGCCGAGTCTATACGGAGTGCTCGGTGCCCGTCTGGTTACGTATCACCGGCGTTCCAGGCCTGGTGGGGGGCAGGCTCATTCCCCCGTGGCGGTGCTGGGGCTCGAGGGGCTCTCTTCCCCGCTCCAAGACGACTTGGGTGCCTTCCAAGACGGCCAGGATAGCTCAAGATGGCGTCAGAGATGCCTCCAGCACCGCCAAGAGCCTCCCAAAGACGCCGCAAGAGACCCCCAAGAGACCTCCCGAGAGGGCCCCAGGAGGCAGGCATGGTCCCATTACTTTTGTAAAACGTATATTTCACAATCTTCGCCTCTTGGGCTCTCACAGCGTCCAAGACGGCCCGACAGGCCCACAAGATCGTCCCAAGACGGCCCAGGTGGCTCCCAAGAGGGCTCCAAGACGGCCCCGAGACGGCCGAGGAGAGCCCGGGGCGCCCCAAGAGGGGGCCCCCGAGGAGGTCCCCGAGCGGACATTGGAAGCTCTCCGCAACTAGGGGTCCCCAGGAGCCCCAAAGAGGCTTTCAAGAGGCTCTCCAGCAGGCCACAAGAGGTCCCCCAGAGACCACACATTGGCCCGACACGTCAGCTTGCCAATTGCCGGGGCGTGCTAGAACCTAAGCGCGCGCGAAGCGCGCACGTGGTTCTAGTGTGTATATATACATATACATATATATACATATATATGTACAGGTCTGTATCGCAAACAGTTTCGAGCCTTGAGGTCGCGCCTCTCGACAATGTTTCTTACCAAATGTGTGGGCTCAGCGTGCCATCCTGTCTGCTACTATCCATCCTCCGTTTGAGGCTTGTATGTCGACAGATCCGTGTCGCGCAGGGGGCACGTCAGGGAATTGATACAGGCGGACTGAGGCATACGATCGAGGTCGATGCGGGGCGGGCACCCTATTGTTTTTCGCGGTGCTCGTTGGATTGTCTTCTGCATCCTGGCGAGGGGGCCCTTGGATGTTCTGTTTGTTTTGGCCCACGGAGGGTCTCCTGTTCTTGAGGGATGCTGCCCTGGCCTAGCGCCGACCGTATGGCAGAGCAACCGCGCTTCGGCCGTCGCGGCCTTGCCCGCATGGCTGCCCTTCTCCCAGGGGCGGCGGGAGGG